TGCCCTGTTGTGGAGGGCTTTGGAGGCTGGAGGGGGCCTGGCAGGAGCTGCAGCGTGAGTGATGGCCCAAAGCAGGGTTAGAATTGCTGTGTCCCCCACAGGGCTTGCAGCGTGTCTCAGTGTTGTGTACAGGAATCTGTGGCTGTCCTGTTTCAGGAACTCCTCTTGGTTTCTCTGCCTCTTCCACCACCACTGCCACCACCAGCCACTGCCACCGCCAGCCACTGCCACCGCCACTACCACCATTGCATGTTAAAGTAAAACATTTTCCCAAGGATACGAAGACTGGTCCTGGGAAGTACCCTGATGGGGTGTTTAAATCAGTGAAGACACTATTGATAATCATCAGAGATCTCCAGGAATGCAAATTTATTTCTCAGTGTAGACCTGATTTCTGTCTTTGGGAGGAAGGGGGCAAGTTGAGCCGTGGAACGCTGATAAAATGAACGAGCACCCTTGTCCTTGAGCAGCAGCCTCCTGTTGGCTGCTGCTGGCCTTTCCTGTCTCCTTCACCTTCCTTCCTGGTCTGTGTAATCCTGCTCTATGCTTGTCAGTTATTCACAGTTGAGTATGTTTAACTTCAGTTCTGACTTTGCAGAAGTGCTATGGAAATCACCCCCACCCCAGGAGTTTGTTTTCTAGATCTAAATAGAGGAGAGAGATAAATTTTGTGTCCTCTGAGTAGGACAGTGTAGTTTCCTTAACTTGTAAATTATAAATACTCTGACTTCAGTGGCATTGTTTAATTACATCACTAGTAAATAATGAGGCATATTTGTTGGAGCATTTGATAGGTTTGCCTCTCTTCTTAGTTTCTTACATAGCTTATTTTTATATTACTGTTACTATTCCACCACAGTCTTGAATCCAGGAAGAGTGAAAATTGTGACTTCTTACTATTTTTGGCTTTATGTATAAAGTAGTGATAGTAATATGCAACATTTCTTGAGCACTAATGCACTCAATTTTATTTATTCATTCCTACCTAGTGAAGGAAGGACCATTATTTTTCCACATTTAATATGTGGGAGAATTGAGGCTCAAAAGTACTTTGCCTAAAGCTATGTAGCTTAGTGAGTTGCAAAGCCACAGCTTAAACCCAGGTGGTTTGGGCTGAATCAGATGATCTCTAAGTTTATTTCTGGCTTTAGATTTCTGTGATTCTGAGCAAAAGTCTTTCACTAGTGAAGAGTAGGTATGGGATGAGGATTTTCTGTGACAGTGTTTGAGGAACCCCCACATCCAGGGGGCTTTTGGAGCTGGGAGGGTGCTCCCTGTAACTGTGCTTAATGCCATGGTCGCTGGCATCCTGTGAAGGTGACATTTAATTTGTAAACCTTTAGGATGGTGATGGGCACTAATGCCACCAGATATACATGCAGGGAGGACATGAGAGGTTCTCTCACAGCATCACTGTATCCACTGGGTTTTGGCTGGGGAGGAAACATAGATGCAAATGTCTAAGCATTGACAGAAATCATCTTGGGAACTCTGTGTCCCAGTGAAGGTAATGGTTGCACGTCTAGATAGGTAGTTTTAGTCTAGTTCCTTTGGAAATACGACATTTGCCTTCTTTTATAAATGTTTCATCTTCATTTAAATTATGACCTATCTAGAAATACTGTGCCCATTGTAGCATTTATATTTATTTGAAACTTCTGTTTGCCTTGACCACCTTGTGTTCTGTCTGTAGAATTAAGATTATAGAGTCTTTTTTAACACAATGCTGCCCCTCCCTGGTTATTGTGTAGTATTGCGTTAGGAAGTCCACTAGACCTTTAGCTGCCTTTGTAGAGCTTCAGGGTGGAAGCCATAAATCTAGACACACTCACCAGAGCATCGATTTGTGTGTCATCAATGAGTTCATTGAGATCAGAGATGACTGGGAAATGACTTAAGAACTGAGGTCACTTAAGTTACTAGTTTGGTTCAGAAAAATAGACACTGTATAAATCCAGTCACTGTACTTAAAAGGCATTTCTGTAATGCTTCAGGTTTTTAGACATCTTAAATGTGTTGCAGAAACACACAGAGGCTTCACAGAGACTTGAGGACATTATTGCTAGGACTGCTGGCAGGTCCGAGTTCTTCTGTGCTCTGTTAAGCAGCTCCTTTATGTGACCCTGGAAGCATCTGTTAGTATCATGGTGGTTAGAGCTCAGTTTCATCCTTTCATGTTTTGGTGGAGAAGTAACTCTTTTAGATTTCTAATCCAAGTTTGAAATTACTCTGTGAAATGCTAGTCATTGTCACTAACAGAGTACCTACTCACTCATTTAGATGTTGACTTTTTAAACGTTTTAGTAGTTCTTCGAGGGCGGTTTTGCAGGAGAGAGAAGTCTTGGAGAATCTTAGTGAGTGTGCAGGATCCAGTAGCTGGGAGCTACTGGAATTGCAGTTTGAAGTGTGTCAGATTTTCCAGTATGCTTTCCAGTTGTCTGTGTTCCCCACCCTGTAGCACTTGAGGCAGGCTTTATTCTTACCATTCTAACTCCCCCCTCCCCAAAGAAACACAAAAAAACAAAAAGAACTTGAAAATCTATTAGGTTAGTGGTTTTCAATGGGGGACAGTTCTGTCCTCAAAGGGATATTTGGCAATGTTTAGAGGCATTGTTGGTTATCCCTACCAGGGGAAGGGTGCCACGGGCACTTGGGGGGCTGGAAGCTGAGGTACTGTTAGACATTCAACAATGTGTGGGTTATCTGGCTCAGGAGTGCTGTGGGGGAAGTCTGCGTTAATTAGGCAGTATGTTTTATATATAAAAAAAAGTTCATCCCTGACCACTGAGACAGGCTCTGCTCTTTTCCCTGGGGTTTACTTTCATTGTGTGTAATGTTATCCTAGTCCTGTTCTTTATCATTCCTAGTAAAGATGCGACTAGCTTTTGGAAGAGAGGAAGAAATATTTTTCTCTTTACACTTCTAAATTCTTGGCAAAATAATGCTTATGCCCAGGAGGTGTTTTGAGATTGGCAGTTCTCTGGTCTCCTATGCCCTATAGCTGTTCTCTCTATGCCCGGCCTTTGTACTACTGCTTGTGTATTTGGTTAGCAGATGAGTTAAAAGACTCCAGTTGTCCTGTAGCTCAGTGCAGGCCAACCAGAGTCAGGATTCCTGTTTCTCTTGATAGCTCCCCTGGGTATTTTCCTGTGCTATGTGCAGATGGCCATGTGGGCCTGGATATTTCTTACCTTTTTTTTGGGTACTGGGGATTGAACTTGGGACCTTGTGCTTGCAAAGCAGGCGGCGGAAACACTGAGCTAAATCCCCAGACCATGTCTTACACATTGTTTCTGTCTTAGGTCTCCTCCTTTGCTTAGAAAGAATACCACTGAAATCGTTCCGATTTGTGCTGGTCAGTTGTTATCTTTTCCATAGTCCCCTGCTGAGAGTAACTGCTTTTTCCTCTAAATTCTAAATTTTGCACATAACATTTTACACATTTCTAATATTGGTTTGTTTTCATATGCAGAATAGGGAGTGCAGAATAATTTTTTGTGCAGTATGAAAGTGCAAAATGGATAAGTACTAAAGACTGCATCATGTAGGATTATTCTCTGCACATGCGGACTGTTTTAGTCAAGGCTATGCTGATGTGCTATCTTGGGAGGAGCGTCTATTCCACATAGTTACTTGCAGAGCAAGAATTTTGATATTTATAATTACTTTGGAGTAGCCCTTCTGCAAATTTGAGTTCTGTCAAGACTTAAGACAGGGTTTTCTTTCACTGACTTTCTGGTTCTTTTAATAGAGCAAGTATTTTAGCAATTTTTTTTTAACAACTTCCTAGTCTCAGTGAAGCCTGTATGTATGACCTCTCACTAAAGCAGGAAGCATTTTCCTTCATTAATTCGGGCTCTTAACCTACTTGTAAGATTTAGCTATCTCTTTTATGAACATGAGGCATTTCTTGAATTTTAGCTCCCATTTGTTTCAGTCCTGTGGGCCTGTAGTGAGAAGGGAGAGGCTGCTAAGAAGAGTGATATGGCATTCTCCCTTGGGAGGTCTGTGAAGCCCCACCCGGGGTGAAAAGTATCTCACGAAGCCCTAGGAGACCTTAGTGCGCTTCCTGTTGAGCAGTTCCATGACCCTGTGCACAGAGGGTGTAGGTTACACTGTGGCTCCATGGCCTTCAAGTGGAAGGTAGTATTTTATCCCTTAATTTTTGGATGAACTGGGTACAAGTTGACTTTTTCTGACATGCCATTAATGGGACAGTGATCAACCTAGAAACCTTCATTATTAACCAGTAATTATGTGCAAGTGGTTCTGTGCTGATCCGAAGGTAAATAAGACTGGGTCCTTTTTTCCCAGACTGATTCAGGTAGCATCATTACCTGTAGCCTGCTCTGTTACTTTGGTGCATGGCAGTACCTGCACAGTTTTGTGGCAGCACAGTGGAGGAAGGCTCTAATATAGGCTGCATGATAGGCTAACCTGGGAGAGGAGGAGGCTTCATGTCAGGTCTTGCTGGGTAAGTTCTTTCTAGCTTGTTACTCTTCATGAGTTGGACAGTATGCTCTAATTTTTTTTTTTTTTTTTTTTGAGTGGGGGAACAGAGATCAAACTTGGGTCCTTGCACTAAGTTAAATCCCTGGCCCAGTTCTCATTTTTAATAGCAAGGCTTAAAGGTTTTTTGTAGTGTTGCATAAATAACTTTTTCTATTGGCTTTTTGAGACAAGGTCTTGCTATGGAGTGTCTCGCTGTGAAATTCAGGCAGGCCTTGAACTCACTCTGTAGTCCAGGCTGGCCTCGCACTCATGGCAGTTCTAAGATTAATCTCTTGTTTTTTAACTTGAGCCTTGTGGATGGGTAAGGTCAGAGGTACTGTGGCTGGGGTTTTGGAAAAAATTGGATCCTGCCATTGTTGCAGTCTTGGTGGTACTGTTTTGCCCTGTCAGCCAAAATACCTATGTACAGAGGCTTTTGATCATGAGTATGATATGCACTTGTGGGCCCTGAAATCCTGTTCCTAATGCTGTTAGATTTTCCTTTTCAGAGTAAGAGGGACCATCTACTCATGAACGTCAAATGGTACTACCGTCAGTCTGAAGTTCCAGATTCTGTGTATCAGCATTTGGTTCAGGATCGGCATAATGAAAATGGTAAATATGTCCTTCTAATTCCATTCTTGTAAAGCTTAGTTTTGGTAAAGTTCTTTATGAAAAAAAAAAAAAGGCCATTAGATAGAGATAAACTTTTATTTGTTTTGTTTTGGAAATACCAGATCGAACTCAAGACCTTGTCCTTGCCAAGCAGGCGTGGTGCCACTGAGCTATATCCCTGGCAGAGATACCTTTATGATAAATTATCTCTTAAAGAAATTTTTATAAATAAGAACGTTACTGCCCAGATATGATGGCACGTTGCTGTAATTACAGCACACTTAGGAGGCTGAAGTAAGAACTTACTTAGTAAGATGCTAGTTCACATCTGTCAAATATGGGTCCAACCTGGCAACTTAGTGAGACACTATCTAAAAAAGGCCTGGGGATGTTGGTCAGTGTGAAGACTCTGGGCACACACGCGTGCGCACACACACACACACACACACACACACACACGCAGGCACGCGTGCTCTCAGTTCCCAGGAGAAGAATGTTACTGCAACTCTACCTCCCACTCTTTCCTCTCTCCTTTCTGCAGTACTGACGATCGGACACAGGATAGGGAATGCTGACTTGCATCCCAGCTCCCACCTTTGTTTGTTTGTTTGGTTTGGTTTTTTTGGACAGGTCTTGCTGAGTTGCTCAGGCTTGTCTGTTTGTTTTTGTTTTTGTTTTTGTTATCATGGGTCAAACTTGGGACGTTGCGCTTGTGAGGCAGGTAGCGCTGCCACTGAGCTAAATCCCCGACCCTACTCAGGCTTGTCTGAAAGTTGAGTTCCTCTTGCTTTAGTCTCCTGAGAAGCTGGGTCAGAATGCCCAGCTTTTTAATTTTACTTTTTATTTATTTAATTTTAAACCTGAAATAATGCTGATAGTATCTTTACCTTAAATTTGAAACAGAAGCAGGTGTTCTTTGGAAATAATAGTAATTTCGTTCTTTGAACAATTCCCTTTTTCATTTAGCATCACATAAGTATGTACTAAGCCCTAGAGGATTGTATTTCTTTTTCTTTTCAGTAATCTCTATTGATTTTAATTACTTGTATTGAGGATAATGAACTTCAGTTTTTGAGCACTGCTTTCTGAATTATGTTTTGGAGTTCAGCTTGCTACCTGACTTCACAACAATAGGAGGGTAGTTCCTGACATCTGATCTTTTTCTCTCCATCTGGCCTTGTAGTTCTGCTTGGTAACTGCGTTGACACATACGCCATGTACATAAAATGCAGGTTACCTTTGTACAGCTCCATAGTAGTTTTGAAAGGTTGATTCTGGAGAGGTGCTAGGCCTCATGCTAAATAGTTCACATCTGTCAGCTGTGAATTTGAGGTGGTTTTTCCCTGCAGCTTGGGGTGAGGAGTTGAGTTTAGAGCTTCAGTAGCAGCTATGGAGGCCATGCATGCTCTCAGTGGTGGTGCTGGGCTGGGGCAGACTTTACAGGTCTTGCTGCTTGCCCCATGCTCTCACATGGCCTGTGCTGTTAGGTTTAAAAAAAATAAAACAAAAAAACCCTTATTTGAAATGATAAAAACTTGTGTTAAAGCAGTTAAATTATGATACTCCCTTAAAAACAGTAACTTGCATATGTTTTTCAACTGAATCAGTGTGGCTTTATTCCATTTTGGAATATTGATGGAAAGAAAGGATTTTTTTTTTTTTTTTTTTTTTTTTTTTTTTTTTTTTAAATATTTTTTGGAAAAAGATTTTTTTTTTTTTTTTTTTTTTTTTTTTTTTTTGGAGACAGGGTCTTTCATTATAGCCCATGCTGGCCTTGATCTCTTGGTGGTAACTCCTGCCTCAGCCTCCCGAGTATTGGGATCACAGGTGTGTACTACAGGACCTGGCAACTTTGTGCTTATTAATGCATTTCAGCAACTTTAGGTACTTGGTAAAGGATATAATATACTCCCAGCAAGATAATCACTTATCCAAAACTACACACACTGTTCTTTATATTCATGCTTTCTTTTGAGGGGGGGCGGTGTTCAGACAGGGTCTCACCATGTAGTTGAGACTGACCTGGAACTCTCTATGTAGCTCAGGCTGGTTTTGAACTCTCAGCAATCCTCCTGTGTCAGCCTCCTGAGTGCTGGGATTACAGGCATGCACCACCACGCCCGGCTTATTTGTGCTTTTGTTCCTTTGCCCCATTTTGCACACTTATGGTGCTAACTAGATCTGGTTATTTATTGTGCTTCTTTAGTGGGAGGTATATTTGGAAAGAAAAACAGTTTTGCAAAAATTCTTACCTGCTTTTGGAAAGTCAGCCTTAATTTCCTCTTAGTTAATTTAAAATTTTTTTTCTTTTTTTCACAGACTCTGGAAGAGAACTTGTCATTACAGACCCTGTTATCAAGAACAGAGAGCTCTTCATTTCTGATTATGTTGACACATACCATGCTGCTGCACTTAGGTAAGCTCTGGAGATGCATTCTGGGTTCATGTGTAGAAATCACAGAGTCCAGTCTGTCCTGGCCTCAGTGTACAGCAGTGTATTAATTGGTTCCTCTCATGACTGGAGTAAGCGTGTATCACTGGGATTTTTCAGGTTGCTGGCTGTTCCTTTTATCTGGCTTTCCCTCTCCCTGTTTTCCTTCTAATGAATTTTCCTTCTAATTGAATTCCTCTACTACTATATAATTAGTTCCTTGAAAGTTAATGTCCTGGTATTGCTTGCCAAAGTGTTTAGGTGCTAGCGGTCTGCAGCCTACTTTAAGAGTTGGAACCTCTACAATCCGCACAGAAAAGATTGTATAAAAGTGGATGATGCAGATACGGTGATATGTTCATGAATTGAGAATCCAGGCAGAATTTGTTAGGGTTTTCATTTGTCAACTCTTTCAGTTTTCTACGTATCAGAAAAATTTTTAGCTGAAATTCTTGGCAGGGGAGAATATATTGAAGATTTTATTTTTAGACAGAAGGTAACATTGTAACTTGTCTTAATAGCTTAAGTAGTTTTGCCAGAAAGTGACTGTGACTCTCTGCTTTGCATTTCGTGTTCTCTAAAGGGAAAGATGCCCATGTAGTACATTTTATTTATATGTGGTAGACTGGGCCCCTTAAGTGGCATAAGATGCACAACAGCCAATACCCTTAAAATCTACAAATAACAAATAATGTGGTAAAAGAACTACTTTTTTAAGGCTGGTTTTTAAAAGTCACTGGGTTTTGTTGGCCTAACTGCAATGAGCGACATTGATTTCTCTCTTTGGGTGCTCACACTGTTTGGTGAAAGCATCCCAAACGTCCTGGGCAGAGCTAAAGTGCAGATTATGGGCAGCTTTGAGTACAGGACAGGTTGCAGCAAACTCCTTTTGCCAAAAGCATCTCCTGTGACTCTGCCTCAGCCATCTAGAGTTCTGCCATCGCAGCGCAGAAACCATAGGTAGCACGTACATGGGTGAGGTGGCTGTATGCCAAGAAAATTTTAGAAATTGACGGTAATATGTATGTTAGGGCCTGGGTCTTGACACCCCTCCACCCCTGCCTCACGGGGTTACAGGTTGCTTTGTCAGAGGTGGTTTAATCTAGAGTGTGTGATTCTGGGATTAAGGGTGTGTGGTTACTAAACCAGTCCGCTGATTGGTTTGGCCCCGCCCTAATCTTGGAAGTCTGGATAAGATAAAAGGGTGGAAAGACTGCTGTGAAGGTTCTCTTGTTGCTTTCACTACCTTCTGCCTGCCTTTGAACTGTTGTCTCTCTGCCATGTGCCACTCTGCTTTGGAGCCAGCCAACTACAGACTGTGAGCTAAATAAACCCTTTCCCCTTTAACTTTGGGTGTCTGGGTATTTTCTCTCAGCAGTGAGAGAAAAGTAACTAACACAATGTGATTTTCTGATTTTCATGTCATGAAATATTCTCCTTTGATTTTTTGTTGTTGTTGTTTTGTTTTGTTGTTTGAGACAAGGTCTCACTGTGTAGTTGAGACTGACCTGGAACTCACTGTGTAGCCCAGGCTGGTCGTCTTGAACTCACAGCAATCCTCCTGCTTCAGTCTCCCAAGTGCTGGGATTACAGGTGTGCGCCGCCACTCCCGGCTCTCCTTTGATTTTTTTTTTTTTTAAAGTATTTAGAATTTAAACCTTTTCTTTCAGACTGTCCAAAGATTAATTGGTACCGAGAATCCAGGACCTTGCACTTGTGAGGCAGGCAGCAGAGCCACTGAGCTAAATCCCTTGCCCTGAAGACAGAGTTTTGTTAAATAAAGTTGGAAGAGTCCTGTGGTGGTTGGCCAGCTTTTCTGTGTCTTCAAAGTGGAGGTGACTTTCTAATCAGAAGCCTGCTTGCTGAACACGGCAAGTCAATGCAAAGTTGCTGGGCTGACAAGACTGGTGGAAGGAACAATGTAGCTCCTCACTCTGCTTTGCTTACTTATTTTTTCCTTGCTCTTTCCATCTTGTCCTGTTGTTTGATGAAGATAATTTTAAGGAATTTATAGTTCCAGTTAAACAAATACGTAACTGACTATTCAGCATGTTTCTACATGATTGCTTAAAATGAATACATTTGTGTGTTTATTAGTGCTGTTCAGATCTGTAGAGTCATTTTCATCTCAGTTTGGCTTGCTCATTCATTCATTCTGCTGTACTGCGGAGTGAACCCATGACCTTTGCAGTGGGCTTCATCCCCAGCTTTATAAATTTTTTTTTGGAGTGGGCTCAGTAAGTTGCCCAGGCTGGGATTGAACTTGTGATTCTCCTTCTCCAGCCTCCCAGAGTCCTGGGATTATATGTGTATGCCACCACTCCCAGCTTCAGTGTTGCATTTTTAGCAGAACCATTTTTTGCAGGTAGTTGGAGCAGACCCACGTGAGCTTAGAGTAGGCTTCCATCAGTGCCTGCAGAGGTGCGTCACTGTGAGGCGCTGCCCCTGTGCTGGCCACCGCAGCTGCTGTGTTACAGTGGCAGTTCTTAATAAGGTTCTGCATACTTGGTGTGTGACTAGGATCCCTGATCAGTTTTTTTCTTCCTGTGCTACCTTCTTTTAAAGTTCTCATAAAAATTGATAGCTCTCTTGTAAAGCTTTCATTTGAAATTTGATTTTTAATTAACTTCAGATAAAGCACACCTTTGGGACCTGACAGTTCGATTTTTTTTTTAAGACACTGGATGGTAAGTGGCCACTTTGTTGTGGAATGATTTGACCTAGTAGGTGCTCAGTAAAACCGCATTAAGTGCTGACGTTTGCCAGATCTGCTGCTCGTACTTGTGATCCTTCCATGGTTTCGTGCTCTCCACAAAAGCAGCTTGGGTTGCCTGTCAGATCACCTCCTGGATACAATGGAGCGGCAGTGCCAGGTCTCCATTGATGCCTTTCTCTTCACCAAAGTTAGATTATTTTCACTTAAGCGTATTTGGGCTATATTGGTGAAGGGAGGAGTTTGAGGATTAAGTTTTAACTTTGTGTTCTGATTTTTCTTTTCACAATTTATCCACAGAAAAAGTTTTTTCTTTCTTTATAGAAATATACCACACTACCAAAAATAAAATTTAGTTTTGAGGGAGACACAAGTAGTCTGAAGGCACATGAAAGGGATCAAATGAATACGATGAAAAACCATGGAGGACAAAAACAGAAAAAGAGGAAAAGCTGTTAATGTTAGTGCTTAGTGCCATTCTTTTCGAAGAGCAAAAGATTGGGTTAGATGGATTCCTCGGTTGGCAGCGCTGTTCACTCAGGAGGAAACTGACGTGTAAATTTTTCTTTCGAGCTGATGCTTGAATTTGGGTCATAAAGAAGCTAGAGCTTTGTCCTTTGTGGGCACTGTGAATGAAAAGGAAAATAACGTTCCTCTGTAGCCTTTTTTTTTTTTTAATTGTGAGCTTGTAGCTTTTCCCTACCAAGACTATTTCCAGAAGAACTTCATATTTGCAGAACTATGTTTTGAGGTGAGGATTATTGCTTTGCTACTGTTTGTGAGTCATTGGCTGTGTCTATCCTGTACCCCTATCTTTCCAGGTTCCACCCCTCCTACCTTTCTTTCTGTGTTTACTTATCAGTGCCCACTGTTGCTAAAGCTAGGGTCTTCAGTAGAATGCTTTCTGAGTGTTATTCCCAGGTGAGCAATTTTGGCCAACACTGTGGTATACAGTAATGTAATGAAGTACAAGGTTGAGGTTAGAAGACTCAGTTTGAACCTTGGCTTTGCAAGAGTTTTGCAGCCAAGACTGGGGTCTTAGCCTTTGAATCATCCTTTCACAGGTGTGGTCAGTGCCTCAAGACCTAGTACGGAACCTTTCTTAACCACACCTGGCATAGTAGGAGTGTGGGAGCTCCTCCCATCACTTCACACTTGGTAACAGGACCGCTCTGTGTTCTTAGTACACTGCTCATTCAGTTTCAGCTGGGTCCGTAAAGGTGTAAAAGTAAGAAAACAAAAAGTGTGCTGCACTCTTGGTGGTATGATTGTTGAGGATTACTAAGCACTCACTGATTGTATACTCAGTAGCCTGTTGTGTGAGTTCATTGGGTCCAAAGATTACTTGAGGCATTTGTGGGAGGCTGGGGTTAAAGCTCCAGAGCCTTCTACAGATGCTGTGCAAGTTGTGATCTGTTTTCTGTATCACTTCTTTCCCCCTAGGGCTAATGTTTTGTTGGTGACACACAGATCTGGAGCATTTGCTCTGTGAGGAGACTCAAAATTCGTGACCTGGAGATAATTGAAGGTTTACTGTGGGTTTAGAATGGAGAATTCTTAAGTATTAAAGGGGTGGGACAGCACAAAAAATCAGAAGGGGCCCATGCGCCTACATCTGTATGAGCTGCTCTCCAGCTTTCTGATGATCTGTCTCCCACTTTCAAGTAGGTCAGGCCCGAAGTTGTCATGGTACCTGGGGACTCACACTGTAAGGCAGTGGGGTGAACCCATGGCACGCGTGCCACAGAAGGCTGCTCTCACCAAAAGCTCTAAAAGTTTTGCTGTCCCTTTTGTAGTGTGATTTTTCTGAAAGTTCAGGGCCAAGAAACTCTAAACAGTTTTGAGCTTCTAATCTCATCCTTTTCATTTTGAATTAATTTACTTTCTTATTTTGTCATGGGCAGCCAGAAATTTTAGACACATGTGTATGTATTAAAACAAATTAATTATACCTGTGGATAATTCCCTAACCATTCTTTCCCTTTTAAAAAAAAAAAAATCCCCTTGCTCCTGCAGGTTTCACAAGGAGGTTCATGGAGTCTCAGAGCTCTTAGTTTGCAGTTTAAGATTTATTTTCTGAGGGTTGGGGATTTAGCTCAGTGGCACCACGCCTGCTGTGCAAGTTCAAGGTCCTGAGTTTGATCCCTGCTACTGGGGAAGAAAAAAAGATTTATTTTCTGTCCCCCACACTGGAGATTGAAACCTGGGCCCTCAGACTGAACTACAGCTCCACCCTTTTTATTATTTTGAGACAGGGTCTTACTGAGTTGTC